AGATCAGCCAAACAATTTCTATCATGCCACACAGGGAAGGCTGCGATTCTGGGGATCTTAATTGTGTAGCTCTGGCGTGGGAGTCAAACCAAAGGCTTGGAATCAACTTCTCTTCTCTGCAGCGTGAATGCTTACTTCTGAAATTCCAAGCAACAACCCTGCTTTGTCAAATAGACCAAGAGATACTACTGCTTTGCTTTCATCAAGAAGTGAGACGTTTAGTTAGGTTCAGATGTTACAAAAACGCTAAACCGAAGCCCCTAGCACTTTTCAAAGGAAGGAAAGGAAAAAAAAAAACCCAGCAGGCAGGCTCCGTAAACAGATGCTGCAGGATGGAGGTGCCATCCTTACACTTGGTTAGACTGATCCCTACTCCTGGGAAGGCGCTGACCGCGCTGCAGGCATCTCGTTTGGAAACGGGTAACTGCGAGTCTGTTAAACTGCAATCGCCTTACTGCAACTGAGAAGTGGGCGTAGAGGGGCTGCAGGAAATCCACGCCGTGCCTCCCACCGGCTCACGCGTCTCCCAGGCGCTGTTTGTTCTGCTAAGGCTCCGTCTCTACAGAGCCTGACTCAAGGATCAAGACCAAGGAGGGAACCCCCGACACCCGTGGCGCCCCATCCACTCCGGCGTGAAAGCCCAGCCGCTCTCCCGAAGCCGGACACGCCGGGAGCCGGGTCCGCTCGCTCCAATCCCGTCCTGTCCTCGCTTCCACCCGGCCCTCGCTCCTACCCGATCCTCGCTCCTACCCGGCCCTCGCTCCTACCCGATCCTCGCTCCCTTCCGCGGGTGGGCTCGCAGCTCCCACTGGCGGGCACGGGAAGGAGCAGGTCCCCGCGGCGCCTCCGCAGGACCGCAGCGACTGCTGTTTGTAAACACGCGCCACGTGCGCTCGCCCTGCCCCATTCGCAGTCCACTCCGTGCGCCCGAGGATGCGCCGTACTCTCACGAGCCCGCAGACGGGGCGATTTTTATTCCCGCCGGAGAAGGAAGGAGCCTCGCCGACTGCCAGGCCGCCGGGAGAAATGCAAAGGACCGGGCGAGCGGGCACCGCCCTCTACTGGCCAGCGACACAGTCTGCAGCCCGGAGCTGCCGGGAGGCTCGCGGAACCCGCGCCCCCGCGGATCCCCCGCCTTCCCACCGCCGCTTGTTCACTCTCTCACAAGGCCCCGCCCCGTGCCGCGCGCTCGCCCCGCCCCTCGCGCAGCCCCGCCCCCTCGCACAGCCCCGCCCCCTCGCGACACAACGTTCCTGCGGGGGCGCGCGCGTGCTCCTAATCCCCCGCCTTCCGGCTCCGGCGGCGACGCTCGCCCCTCGCTCTCGCCGCCGCGCCACCCGGGTCAGCCTCCCTCGGGAGACTCCATTTGCTCTCCGTGAGATCTGGCTGCCGTGCCTGCAGGCGGGGGGGCGATGCCCGCGGCCGGAGGACGGGCGTCCCCTGCGCCAAGCGGCCGCTCGCTGGCGGGCTGGCGGCGGCGGTGACACCCCTGTCGCCGGCGTCCAGGCGGAACCCGGGCTCCCTCCGCGGAGGAAAGACGCCCCGCGCTCCGGAGCTCGCCCGGCGGGGACAGAGAGGCCCTCGCTAACTCGGCTCCTCTCTGACCTCTTAATTTCAGGAGGTAGGCTCTGCAGGTCCCCTTGTCACCCCAGATAGTGCCCAAGAGCATTATTTGTCGTGTTTACCGCTCACGTTGGTAGGAGGCGTTGATTTCCTCAACATAGTTGCAGAGTAGGTGTGGGCAATGTCACAGACTCCAGTTCTGAAAAGAAAATGTGTTTGGTGTTTCCTTTAGGTTTCAAAGGCTCGAGTCCCTACCCAGCCCCGCAGGAGCTACTTATGTTGGCCCATGGAGGATCGGCTTTCACCAGGACTGTTGTAACGTCTTCACCGAGCCTTCCACCCCGTAGTCTCTACCTTGAGCCCTGATTTCCACCAATGAAATGTTTTTGATGCTTTCCTTAATCATGTGACCTCCCCTTGCCCCCCTCCCTTCTTCTTTCCAGTTGTCAAGTCCATTAGTTGTAAGTTGTGTGGCGCTGAGATACTAAGGGTTTTTTGCCTGTCCACTTTCACCTTGACTGCACCAGCTCGCCTTACCTTGCTTGATGATTTCCATAAGCACCCAGGTGCTACCTAGAGCAGTCCTGGCCCAGGAGAGACGCGTCCGTACAGGCTACTGCCTGACAATACAGTATAGTCAGGCGATAAGTTTTCTCACTCTACTTTCCCGTATATTAACTTTCAAGTCCTCTCAAGCTATTTTCGTGCACTTTTCCCAAAATACTCCCAACCTCATTCTTAGTGGCTTTGGCAAAGAACCTTCCCTGCAGTGATGACAAGAATTAGGTACAGTAAGACTGTTTTAGAGACCTTGGCAGTACAGCATAGGTTCAGCTTCTAGCTTTAAGTAAGATTGCAGTTTATGAAAAGATCATTTTTTATGAAAAGATCTTCAAGGATGAACAAAGATGGGAGATAGTGCTAACTGGAGTTCTTTCTTGTCATAAGAACTTCTTAAAATGCAAATGAAGAGACTTATACAGACCTTGTTTGAAAGTTGGCCAGCACACTATCCATCCAGGTCCTAGGGGGAAAAGAAAAGATCTGAATTTTCCATTTTCTAGTCATTTTGTATCCAAATCTAAGTTGTTAATTATGCTGTTCTACTAATCATCTAAAATATTAGACACTTAAAATGTTGGGGAAACGTAAGCGTGTGGTATTGACAATTAAGGACAAGCTTGACATTATTAAGAAACTTGAGGAAGGCATCTCTTTCAAAAAGCTCTCTGTGGTGTATGGAATTGGTGAATCCACAGTTCGTGATATTAAAAAGAACAAAGAAAGGATTATAAACTATGCTAACAGTTCGGATCCTATAAGTGGGATATCCAAACGTAAATCTATGAAGTCATCAACGTACGAGGAACTTGATAGGGTTATGATCGAGTGGTTTAACCAGCAGAAAATGGATGGGATTCCAGTGTCTGGAACTATTTGTGCAAAACAAGCCAAGTTTTTTTTTGATGCTCTGGGGATGGAAGGTGATTTTAATGCATCCTCAGGCTGGCTAACTCGATTTAAGCAGCGCCATGGAATTCCCAAGGCTGCTGGTAAAGGAACAAAGTTAAAAGGGGATGAAACTGCTGCTAGTGAATTTTGTGGTAACTTTCAGGAATTTGTTGAGAGAGAGAATCTACTGCCAGAGCAAATTTACGGTGCTGATCAAACTGGATTGTTCTGGAAATGTCTGCCGTCAAGGACATTAGCTTTTGACACTGAGCAAAGCACTTCTGAGTATAGGTCAAGCAGAGAAAGAATCATTATTATGTGTTGTGCAAATGCCACGGGTTTGCACAAACTTAATCTTTGTGTTGTGGGAAAAGCAAAAAAGCCCCGTGCATTCAAAGGCACTGACCTTGCAAACCTTCCTGTCACTTACTTCAGTCAAAAAGGTGCATGGATTGAACAGTCTGTTTTCAGACAGTGGTTTGAGAAATGCTTTGTGCCACAGGTGCAGAAGCATTTGAAATCTAAAGGGCTTCTAGAAAAAGCAGTGCTTCTTTTAGATTTTCCCCCAGCACATCCAAATGAAGAACTGTTGAGTTCGGATGATGGCAGAATAATTGTGAAATACTTGCCACCAAATGTCACAAGTCTAATCCAGCCTATGAGCCAGGGAGTTTTAGCCACAGTCAAAAGATACTACCGAACAGGACTTCTCCAGAAATACATGGAAGAAGGAATTGATCCACAAATGTTTTGGAAGAACTTGACAGTGTTGGATGCAATTTATGAAGTGTCAAGAGCTTGGAATATGGTAAAATCAGGTACCATAATTAAAGCATGGAAAAAACTTTTCCCTGGCAATGAAGAAAATTCAGTAATGAACATTGATGAAGGAGCCATTTTAGCAGCTAACTTAGCAACAGTTTTACAGAACACAGAAGACTGTGAACATGTTGACATTGACAATATTGATCAGTGGTTTGACGCTCAGAATAATGACTCAAACTGTCAGGTGCTAACTGACAGCAAAGGTGCTGAGGACCAGGCCAAGACTACTGAGCAAAAGCCTTCCAGTAAGATGAGAAAAGCAGAACTGAATCCAGAGAAGCTTATTAGCCATAAAGCTGCACTTGAATGGACTGAAAATTTGCTGGATTATCTAGAACAACAAGATGACATGCTACTGTCAGATAAATTGGTATTACGCAGGCTTCGGACCATAATAAGAAGAAAACAGAAGATCCAAAATAAAAGTCATTCATAGTGCCCTTAAGTGTGGCAGTGTATTTGCATCTTTGTGACTGTTTATCTGTAGTAGAACTGACCTTGTTTGGATTCCAAGGCCAATACATTTTAGAAATAATTTTAGGATTAGATGGCATTTTGGATTACTTAAATTACAGCTCTTTAACGTTGACTCTAGTAATTGAGTGTTGACGTTGACGTGTAACTTGGCTGTCTCCTGTTTCTAATCTGTATTATGTTAATTAGATTATAAGGTACCTGAGGCCAGGGATCTGTGTCTGTTTTGTGCCTGAATTTCAATGTGTCTAATAACAGACAGTGCACACTAATAGGCACTCAATAAATCTTACTTAAATCAAATTTTTATGAGTTTCTCTGAATTTCAGTTTCCAAAATGACACGTTGGGAATAAGTCTGCATTTCCATTGCAGACAATCGTAGAAGAGATTAGCTATGGTTGTGCTTGAAGTATTTTACTGTCACTACAGAGAACTGCAGGACAATAGTGTGAAACCTTGAATACGTCATTTCTCTACAAACAGTATTTAGGCAACCAGCCATTCAAATTGGCCAACTCTGAGTATAGTGAAAGAAAAAGTAAGGATAAAATGTCCTCTGATAAAAAGTTTGCACTTCACTTTTATTCCTCCTGACAATAAGGAGAGTTCCTTCAGAGTTGTGGAAAGAATGCCAGCCCTGTTCCAGGAAAATGAATTTCAGTTGCTAATCCATTGTGATTGGATGAAGTAAATGTTAAACTTTATTATGTCTTTTTTATGCTCTACAGATATGCCAGTAGCATTTTTCTCTTCAGTAAGATATCAGACATTTGTGTAACACTTTAAAACTTACAAAGTATATCATCATACATATAAATTGTGGAACCAGCTTGTGAACTATGAACTCACATGAAGTAGAATGTGAGAGAGGCACTGTAGAAGACCACAGGCTACTCTGTGACCTAACACAGAGGGGGAAAGTTACCTAACCCCTCCCCCCCCAGGTAAAATAGGATAATACCTGTCTTGGAGTGTTTGTCAGGAGTAAAATTTAAATAACAGGCTTAGAATAGGAAAACACTGAGTGGCTACTGTTAGTTACTGTGTTGCAGAAATTATGTTTCAGAAATGTGTTAAATAGATCCACCGTGTGACTCAAAATGATATTGCTGCATTGCTGCACCAGAAGTGAGATTCTTTTCAGCTGAAATACAATAGTAATTCATTTCAATGAATTATTAGTTCATTTAATTGGGCTAGTCCATTTACAAACCATTTACTGACCATCTGAGGGTATGCAGGCATATATAAAACATCTTAGGTTATTTTTAATAGGAAATGGGAATGGAATTACAATTTCTTTGCTTTAGGCTATTAGTACATGACTAAAAAAATAGATGTTAGCTTTATACAAGGAAAGCTATATGAATATTGGTATAGTTCACTGAAGCAATACAAATACCTTCAAAGAAAATAAGATAGTAGGATTAGACACTTGGAATATTTTATCACACTAAAGTAACATAAGATCAGTAGAAAGAGCAAAACAATGTCAGAGGAGACTGGTTATAGCAATTAGGCCTAGCCATTGAGACAGCATCCTTGTGATTTGAGATGAGGGATTTTGGAGTCCATATCTGACAGTTTTTTCTTTCATGAGGCTACCATTAACTCAGAATTTTCCCTTTTGATGTGAGGCTTTGGGATCTAGAATGCCTTTTCCCGAAACCTCTAAGAATTCACTCTTTAGGAGAATCCACGTGCCATTATTAACACACCTTTCTCACACTTCACAATCTCACCTGCCTGGTAGATTTGAGGAAACAGATTCTGCACAGGTAAGTCCTGAGTCAAATTGGTCCTGACACCAAGGGAGGCTGAAGCTTGCTAATGGTAACAACCTACCTTTGAATACTAATTTCCTTTTCTCTACAGTGCTTTTGCCAATAAAAACTTCCCAGACTTCTTCAGTGAGGACATTTAAATGGCTTAATCATAACTGCCAATGTAACTGTGTTCTAATTACATAATTCATTGTAATACAAGTCTTTTCTCCCTTCCGGATAATGTAAAATAGTAGCTCCTCTACAAAGACACATGGTGGTTATCTTGGTGAACCACATGTACCCTAATCTGAAAAACACAGAGACATACAGACTCTTAATTGATTTTGTGTACCTTAGAGAAGACACCTACTGTTCTAAATTACCTGGTAGGAATATTCATTCACTATTTCTTAATTCAATCTCAGAGTACTGCAGTGGCTGACTGGAAAACTTTGGGTGCTTAGTAAATGTGATACCGTTGGCAGGGCCCAAATCAGTAGCTAAAGTCAACTCAAGCAGAATTAAAGGATTGTAATAGCTATTGTTCTGGAATTCTTTTTGCTTTCACTCTGCTTCAGATGCAGCTATGCAGTTGCTTCATCATGAATTTCCTGGATTTAGGAAAAGTCATGCTAGATTAAGTGACATAGCCCACATAAAGCAGAACATAGATCTACCCAAATCACAGGCTCAGGAACCATTTTCCTACTGTATCATGGCTGGAGCCACACATCCAAAGTACTAGGAGCCAAAATGAGGACCCACTGCAAATTTAGGCCTGTCCTGGAGGACCATGTCCACTTGTTACCTTAATATTTTCACATAGTTTATCCTTTCCTAAATATATACTTTAAAGCCTAAGCAGTAATATCGCAAAATCACAGCTGTTGTGAGCCAGTTGTGATCTTTCTTATTCTAGTTAAAGTAAATTTAGAGCAACTTTTTAAAAAGTTCCAGTATATAACTTAAACTGATCTTGCATGCCTCAGCTGCATACTTTGAGACATAACCAAGCAGGAGTAGGGCTGTTGAAGGCCAGCATATGTGGAGTGCAAACACCAGCTTCTTTGCTCTCTCCCTAGCTAACTATGGCAGCTTTCTGACCTCTCTGAACCTCAGTTTTTTTCAGGTTTAAAAGGATGGGAGATTAGACAGGTGTGCTTCAGGCACTCCTAAACACCAGCTAGTAAGCAACCCAGTGGTTGTTGGTTGAGAAGCCCCAGGCTTCAGGTGCCTAGGAGCCTTTATTGAGGCACCAGCCCTGGTCCCATCTCTGGGAAAACTGACTGAGTCATGTATGGAGGCGGGAGAGCAGTGACGAGTTGTCCAAACCTCTATGTCTGCAGTGTCTGTTGTTAATGCCATAGGAGGCCATCAGTAAAAACAAATCAGAATCTGGGATAACAAGGCTAAAGAGGAATTTTTTTTTTTTTTCCAAGCGACAGATGTCAGACTTCCGAGATGATAGTTCATATGCTGTAAGCAGAAATGCAGCCCTCCTGTGCAAGCAAACGGGAAACTGAAGGAGCAGGTTGGGTCCCAAAACATAAAGCAACACCAGCACCAGCAGCACTAGCCACCATGGAACTGATGAGTTCAGGAAGTGCTGGGGCTATCTTGCCCAGCATCTGCCTGGTTTATATCTGTTGTCCCAGAGTAAGTGTTGTCATGCTCTTTTAATTCTCAGGCATCCTAGATCAGAAGAGAAACTAGGACTGGGCATGGCTTAAGTGGTAGAGCACCCACCTAGCAAGTACCCCAGTACCCCCAGGAGGGGAAGGGGAAGAAGAGAAACTAGATGGTTTCCCTGCTAATGAGAGAAATGGATCTGAGAGTCACTGGAGACCAAGAAGGGAAGAGAAGTTGCAGCAATGTGACCTACTGGCCAAGGGCCTGGCTTCCTCCCTGTGTGTCTCTGAAGGCTGGACTGCAATCCCAATTCCACTTCATCTCTTGGCCCAACATGGCACCTGTCTCCCTGATATAGGTGTGAGTCCCTTATTGAAAGTCTATATCTTCTGAGAGACAAGCATGCAACCAGAGTTCATGTACCAGATGTCAGCTGTGTGCCATGACCAATGCTGGGTGTTCTTCAATTTAACATCTATTTGTGATCCTCACAACCAACCTTGTAAAATATAATACTTAACCTCTTTCAGAGTGAGGTCTCAAAAGGAGTTGGAAGAGACCCAACCAAGCATTTCCATCCAAGACAAAGTGTTTTTAGTCCTCAGAAAAGGCTGTGTTCCTCCATCTCATGGGCATGCAGGATTTAGGGATCCATGAGTCACACAGTCAAGGCTCCCTTAAAACCAGTTTAGGTGCTGGGTGTGGAGGTTCACACCTGTAATCCCAGCACTTGGGAGGTGAAGGCAGGAAGATGGTGAATTTGTAAGGCAAAGATGGGCTACATAGCAAGACTCTATTTCAGAACTGTAAAGGCTAAGGATGGTGTGCAGTGCTGGAGCATGTGCCTAGCATACACAATGCCCTGGCTTTGATGCCCCACACCATGGAAACAACTCCCCCCCCACTCACAATTGTAGTGTCCAGTAACATGCTAGGTGTGTGTAATTCTAGAGAAGTCTTCCATCAATGTTATTACCTAGGAAGCTGAATATCACTGTAATTCCATCAAGTTCAAAAAAATTCTTTAATGGAGCTCCATGCAACCACAGTGTCATTCCTCTCAAAGGCATTGCTTAAACTCACTTCTGACCAAAAGTAGATCAGGGCTGGGTTGGAGGGTGGATCTAGCCCTGTCTACACAGCTGTGGGGTTCTGGGGGTTCCAGGCCCATCCCTGGGCTCCCGGCTGTTCCTCTTCATCCAGGCTACCCTGAGCCCACCTAGCCCACAGGCACATATCAAGAGCGTATTGTTGGTATGATCTAGAAAGCTAGAAACAAAAGTGTAAGGTATCCTGTCTTTTTCTGTGACCAACCTAAGCATTGATATGGACATTTGTAGTGAGACTCCTTTCTGAAACTTCAGATATGATTTATTAATGTTTCAAAATGCTGAAACTAGATCTTTGGGGATTTTTATTTTCACAGTAGTTCTGTAATGAAATTATCAGCTGATGCCACTGTAACTACCTAAATCATTAGAGGATATGATATTTTAGAATTTTTATACAGATATGTAAAAAAATGGGATTTTGGGACATCCAATTTTTTTTTTAAGTCACAAGAAGAAAGTTGACTGAAATTCAGCCATGTTATCCTGTGAGGTTACCTCTACCAGAGCTTGTAACATCTAGTTTTTGGTTTTTTTTCTAAAAACAGAAAAGGAAAAAAAAAAAAGATAGCTAATGCTTTCCTACATTTCAAAATATGTTGATCTTCTAAAACTTATTTACAAAAAAGCATAATTTCCTTTGAGACTAAAATATAATAAATCCAAGGCACTTTTTTTCTCATCTATTGAAGCAATTGACATCTTTTGAAAAAGTCAGAATGACAGAATAGACTTTAAAGATTTCTTAAGAAATGTCTGTTTGAAAGTGTGTACCTGAGGTCGAGATATTAATTTGAGGCAGCAAC